CATTTCAAATTACAAGGGAAATGACCACTTTACAACAGGGAAAATGAAAGGCGTGAAACCTAATCTTCGGGAAACCGCTATGTCGTGGTTTCACGATGATGTGAAGGTCTATCGCCACAGAAAGGGCGCAGGGCAGCTGTGGGAATGGCTACAATAAGGGTCATGTTTGTCAGAAAGTCTCGACTTCTAGCAAGCAAACGAGGCGGAAGTGGCTCGGCTGTCTTGGAAAACCAACTGGAAGAAGAGCCAAATTTGCAGCACAATGTGGTGTACCACTGAGTAAACCACAGACGAAAACAAAGTCGATAAGAGACGATTGAGACGTCAGCAAGACGGAAGTGGCGAATGGCGACGGAAACTAGTCATGGGATTGTTTTTAGTTTTTTGCCGTTCTCAATCAGCGAATGGCACATTGATAGCGCTGTTTCTGGTTCAATTGAAGGAATCTTATTTTCACTTTGACATATTTTTGAAGGAACCTCTAAAAAGAGAGCACTTAAATATCAGAGTCATGCTGATGATTGTTAGGTTTTCTGTTTGTTCCCCATTGAAAGAATGATATCAGTCCTATTTCAGCTAAACGAAAAAGATGTTATCGTTGGTTTACTCTGTAGAAGCTTCATCGCCCATGCAGCTTACTCCTTCGGTGTGGCCGACATTTGAGCTGCTCATGGGCATCTTATAGATCAAGTCCCTAGAAGTGCCTTTGGCGTGTAAATTTTTCGATGATCGATCCACCAGGCCTGAACGCCACTTCGAACAGTTTAACATAACCTGTAGAGACCTATTTGGGAAAGCACTCTACTCTCATGGATGAAGGGGCGCCACCCAATCCTGGGCCTTAGTATAAAGCGAAACGACGTCGAATGACTCGACTACATTACTCTTACCGAGGTCTGAGCCAGTAATAGTTAAAGAAAATGCCTAGTACTGGGCAAATGAGATGGAACCATGAGCAGTAGCTTGCTTACAATACTGGATTACAGCTTGTAAAAAGGAGCAGTTTCTTGAACAATTCCTGTAAAATTAGATCGGAAACAGATTTGCTATCATTCAAGTGCCCTGCAGATTAAATCTAACCGATGACACCCAACACCTGACCATTTCTCATTAGGTACTTGGTTGAAACTGGGCTCGTTGGCGTCATTTTCGGGCAACGGAATAAAATTACCGGTTGAACAAATTTTCGAGTCATCGCTCCCATCAAGTTTCCCATCTTCTTCTTTTCCTATGACGTACCTTAACATAAAACGTTTCCGTGTCGATTAATCATCAGCTTTCCCGCTTAATCACCAACAGTCCTATTTGTGGTGAGGGGAGACGGGCGTTAGGAACGATTTTGGGTAATCGATTAGCCGCACGCGGCTGTCACGGACCACTCATTCGCCGTTATTATAGGTCTAGCGTTCTTCATACAGCTCAATTGATATGCGATCATTATTTTATGCATAATTCTACTATTAGTACTTTTGTTCTTGTATTTCTTACCTACTGCTGCATCCTACTACACTCGTTCGCGCGCGACGCCCCTCTCACCGCGACGCGGCCATTTCGTTCCTAACGCACCACACCCTGTGGTGAGTCATGGGTGGTACCTCTTAGAGGCAAGTGTACAAGTGAAGCTTTGACAGAACTAACTCTGAACTGCAAGAAGCCTTGGGCTCTTCAGCCGAAAGTAGGAGTTGAACTATGATAATTAGAGGCTGTACTATTCGTTGCCCCAATAAGACTCTCTCTATTTCGTCTTCCATCTACTTCAAGGCCACTTTTACTTGGTGAGCTCAACAGTCTCGACTTAGATTCAGTTGACCTAGTGAATTACTGCATGCACAAATGATGCACTGAATGGATGTAACGATCCTGAAAGGATGTCGAAAGCATGGCGCAAAGGAATTAAACAACACAACGAATGCTTTTTTTGCTACTTGTCCTTGAACGTGTGGTCTCCTAAACTGGCTTGTTTTGTCGGAAGGTCAGAAGAGGATTTTCCTTGTCGATCCACATCAAGAAGGTAGAATTATAAAGGAGTAAAATGATGTCCACGCAACTGATCTACCGACAATTTTTGCTTGAAAACTCTCTTTTTCTCAATTTTCCCATCTCAGGACTAGTTTTCCATCCTGATCGCGAACTTCTGAGAATCCCAGTCCACTAAATTACCTCCCCCATAAGTTCCAGACTTACCAACCCTTCTCGACGGAACAAAAATGAGTTTTGACTAAAAAATGTTCAAAAAATATAGGAACAGTTTTTTTGTCTTAATGTAGTGTTTGCAACCAGAGCTGCCTTCAAAAGCTGCCCGGGCGATTTAAGAACTGCAAGGATATTGGAGGATACAGTGAGGAATTGAGGGAACAAGATTCATGAGCTCAAATCTCAATGACTCTGTATACGAGCCCTGATTTGAAGGGAACAAGTCAGATTAAAAATATCGAGAAGTGTGTAGGTGTAGATATAAACCAAAATGTTTTGGCAAGCAGTAGTGGAATAGCCAAAGTGTGACAAGCGCTGACGTATACGTCTGGTCGTCGACTAATTCTCATTCCCGGACACTTCTATCAAATTAACTCGCTAGAAACATCTCCGAGTAGGGAGTGAAAAGGATTCTGACAAAATCCACTAAATCTTTTCAAAAACAAGTCTGTACCCAAATACTGAGCCTCAAGTACTTTTTCTTAAACGAAAGTGAAGTGATCAACCTCGAAGACCGCTCTTGTGAAGTATGGAGCAGGAAAGTCCTAGGCTACGAGGACATGAGGAGAGCATTGGGTGGAAAAGTACCCCTCCTTCATTCCAAATGTTTGAAAGATTCCTCATTTAGAAGTCGTGACCTATGTTCGTAGGTTTATCATCTGTGGCAGACGGTGGGGCGTGGTTGAATTCAATTATTCTAGTATTCGGGATTAGCACAATTTCAGGCAAGGTAGACGAGCAAGAATCCAGACGGCAAAAGTTACTCGACAGAACGCACAACTCATTGAAACTCTGACTTTCCATAGGGAAAAACCCATTAATGAGGTATCTATAGGCAGTCACGACCTCCTCTAGACCCTACGCTGTGGATTAATTCAAAATCATTCTTTTAAATTTTTCACGGGAGACCCTATGTTGTTTGTTGCCTTTTGGCTATTAAAATCACAGGCACGAGATACTGTAAGATAACCCGGTTATTAGAGTATCCTTACGATGGAATTGAATTGAATGAACATAGAAATTCACAGACAACATATTCATCTTATTGTATAACATCATTTTGATACACAAATCCTAAATCCGGGGATTCGTTCAGTAGGAACGTTTTTGTGTAATCAATCTGCCGCACGCGGCTGCCGCGGTCCTTCTGCCTCGCTACAACAGTTGTAGCGTTCTTCATTCAGCTCATTCGCTATGCGATTATTATTTATGGCATGATTCTACTGTTAGTACTTCTGTTCCTGAGTTTCTTACTTGCGGCCGCATTCCGCTACATTTCTTCGCGCGTGCGGCGCCTCCCTCATCGCGACGCGACAATTTCGTTCCTACTGCACCACGCCCTCAGCCCGAAGCAGGACTCACAGATGGCTTCGTGTACGGAAATGGTTACCCGAATGAACTTTTGGTGACGACTTCTAAGTTTTCATGAATGTTGCTCTGGCAAACAGTTACTGGAAACCGGGTGTCACGGGATGTGACGAGCGATAACGTGCTTGTCTGTTTGTCGACTAACCCACACTCCCGAACACTGCTATCAAATTAACTGGCCAGAAACTCCGAGAAGGAAGGGAGAAAGAAAATTTCAACAAAATCCACTAGAGCTTGTAAAAAGCAAGGCTACACCTAAGTAACTACTGCAGGCACTGGGTCTTCTCGATTTTTTTGAGTCAAAGTCGAATTGAACAGCTTTGTTAGACCGCTCTCAAAAAAGCTTGGAGTAGAAGGCTACACTGTCCTAGAGAAAATATTGGGTTGTAGCAGATGTGAAGTTTTTTTCCCTGAAATGTCTGATCTCCTACGGTCCCTCGTTTAAAAGTCGTTTCATGTACCGTTCGTAGGTGTTCATACGTGGTGTGGGGTAGGTTGTGGTTTTGTCAAACATTCGATACTTGGAGACTGTAGAACTTAAGACAAGGTAAATGTTCAATTGAGGAGAATCGAGACGTCTGAAATTCTGATATCCCATGGGTAAAAACTTTCAGTGAGGTATCTCGTAAACAGTCATGACCTCCTCTTGAATTAACGCCGTGGCGATTAATTCAAAAAACTTTGATTCTACTTACTATCTCAAATATGATACGGGATGGTATCCCTCGACCATGTGATTGTGATGGTGAGCCACTCGCTATTACGCCGCCTTTGCCTCCATACCAGCATTATTTTTCATCCAATTAAAAAATCTGAAATAACATCATGCTACATGTTCTTCACATGATTTCGTAACTTTTCATTATTTCAAAACTCAATGAGAATTGGATACTTCATACATAGCGTTTCAGAGAAAAATGAAGTGATTTTTATTAGGAAGCGAGTAGCCTAGCAATATTCGAGTACAAAGTGTAATGCTGTTCTTATACAGAAGCTGAATAGAAACCGATTGACATATTTACATAAGTAAACAGGAACAAAGTGCACATTCTCCCGCTTGGACATGCACGAGGCCAATTGCGCGGCGAAATTAGTGACGACTTGGACGACTGTGGCGTTTATCATCAAGACATAAAGCATGTACACAGAACAGCGACGAAGCCTTGAGTTCAAACTATTCATTAGCATATCGATTTGATCGATGTAAGAAAATGATGTGCTCATTCGCCGCGTGCATCCCCACACGGGCGAATGTTCCGTCCCTCATACAACTGCGCAATCTGCAAGGAACCTTCAAAGGTTCAAGAACTAGGTCAAATCATACTTAAATAGAAGTCAATTATCATTAAAAGCTTTTATAGAACAGACTTGTAGTCAATTTTGCTATGGTCACAAAGTCTTGGGCTTGGCTGTTCTTTGTTCTTAAACTGTTGCTGCAGTCATATTGTCATAATATGCCATAGCGTTAACGTACAACCATCATAGAACGCCTTGATGTTCGAAGGTGTGGAAAATGGCAATGATCCAAGGGAAATACAAATTCTCATTCGCCCGCGAACCAGCTCATGTTTCCCGCTTGCCAATCCCTGAAACTCACAGTAAATTGAATCTGAACTATTGTTTATACGGAAAATGTGCGGAACTGACCCCAACGAAAGACGTGATACCGTCGACAGTTATCTTGGTAGTAACATCGATGATGAATTCGGAAGCAGTGAGCTTGGCGAGAATGTCATCGTCTATTGGGAAGGGCTCAGGTCCAACAGACCACAGCTCGAATTTTGGTCTTGTAACAATAAATTCGAGAACCTCTGAGCTGAAATTATCACACGAACAGCCGCTGATTCTGAAGAATTCTATATGCGTTGGAGCGGCGTTCCGAAGAAACTCAAGAAAAACAGAAGAAGAAACGTCAACAACTGATGTATCTCTTATTGACAACTTCTGCACTCGACAGTCCATATTCAGGAAACATGAAGAAATCGGCCACAGAACATTGTTTGTCAGATCCCCCTGCAACAATAAAGGACCGAAATTCTTAGAGATTACGAAACAAAAAATCGTGCTTCCATTGTCTGTTGGCGCGGTGTTCCAATTTTTGCAGTCGGTAATCAGTAAATAACAACAACAACGGCGTAAGGTTGAGCATGTGTCTGCGGTGAAGGCTTCTCTGTCTAAACTGTTTGTAACACAACAATGAAATCATCCACCACTCACATTTCCTATTTCCAGGTGTTGAATTGTGGCATTTTTGAGGAGCTTCGATAGACTACAACAATCCCATGGAGAAAACGCGTTCTGAAGATCTTGTAGGGCATGCTCAAAATCGTAACGAGTTCGCTGTTGTCCTCGATAGAGCATGCTCAGATCCCTGTCCTGCGTAATAAAAAGCTGATTCTCAGTAGAATTCCAGCTATTTAGATGTTTTATGGGTTTTATAAAGTAATCGAAATATGGATCAATGGACCTAATAAAATGACCTAACAACTGGAGCATGAAATAAAACTTACTCTAAATATTCCCACTTCGGAACATCTCAAAAACACTCCAAGCCGAAAACCTCTCCTTTTCTGCAATTCCAATGCTTTCAGATTACATTCAGCCAAAACACTATTTCAGATTCGCTATGCTTAAAAAACTGAGCTGATATATCAAAAGACCGGACTAACAGTATAATAAATTCGAATCTGCAAGTATTCGACGATTCTTCTCTTCATCGATTCCTCGTTGCGTCGAATGAGCTGGAACGTCTCCCGATTCAGCACACGACATTTATCAAGATCGGAACGAGTAAGATGTCGCAGAATTTCCACTTGTAGCTCCCTTGGCAGCCGATTCCAAGGAAAATAGTCCTGAAAATAATCATAAGTGAGTCACAATGGGGGTCTAAGAGTATCCCAGAGACTGTAGCTGAGCCCTAGGAAAAATTCTATTTTGTAAAGCTGATTTCGATTCTTGGATTTCAAGAAACGGACAAATACCGTCGGGTGGCTCAGTGAGAGATCGGTCAGTTCCTCGGATGCTGCGTTTAACTTGCAATCTGAAACGTGATGTGATTTCGAAAAGCAGAAGATTCTTCAAGTCGAAGACGAAAAACGCTGAGGCTTATGGTGTCAAAATTTTTTGAAACTACTAGAAGATTCCGAGAACAGTTGGGAAACGGTACAGATATTACTTTCAGAATACGCACGATGCATCTATGGTCAGACTGGTACGAATCGCGGAAAATGATGTATAAAAATGAGATAGGAAAGGTTTACCATTACTTTCCGTAGCAATCTGCTGGTTCTTGTTTATAGCAGTTCTATCTGAATATCTGGAAAGTAGTATATCGATATCGAGAAAATTATGATTTTTCGGAATCAGCACACATACTAATGCTAATACGTAAAAAACGGCATGAATGGGAGATACAGAGCATGGTGAGCTCGGTATTTCCCATTCATGTCGCTTTTCCGTAGGAGTAGCAGGTCATGAAATTTGAGTTTTGATAAGTTGCAAACATTGAAATGAGTTGGTCAGGGACAAGAGAAACATCTCTGTTATGCTCGATACTTACTGTGGCCTCCGGTGAGCCACAAAAGCAACAGCAAAGAGAGCTTCTTACAAACTATTTACATCACATTCACAAAATTCAGCATGTATGCAACTAGGTTGAACAGCGAGGACCTGGCTGCTCCTTCTTCATGAGAATTTCGAATAGAAGGTTCGATGTCATTCTTGCTTCCAGGCAGTCTTTTCAAGGCCACATCGCTAAAACGAAAGGCACAGAATGTTCTAGAAGATGTAAAATGACAGAATGGCTTATTAATTGAATGGATTTTGAAATGAAGAAATCGCCAGAAGAAGCGTTGCAAGCTTAGTCGGTTGCGGAAAACCAGTCGGCACTTACATCTCTTCATATTTATCCTGCAATGGTGACATTGTGCGCAAACTCTTACCGTAACTAACACTAACGCTGAAGGGCGAATGAGTACTGAAAAAATGACAGCTCTGAACATACTAAGTAGTGCGGCACCCTCAGTTTACAAAAGCGAGCAACCGATTGCTTTCTACTGCAGTAAAGCAGTGGTTGGAGTGTTAACCGATTGGGCACTACAGCAGTTCCAGCTGTCTGCACCAATAGCGGCTTGGATTATTTGAGAAATTAACTGCAGGACGGATTGCTACTTCAGTTACAGTTGCTCAAAAGCGTCTCCGTTCTCAGAATCCCATCTAATGCACCTATAGCCTGCTGCGCTTCGAGGAGCCTTCATTCTACTGGGAATACTTTTCGACCGTTAACAAGCCGCCCAGCGAAACGGTACAAAGAATATTTAAGATAAATTATTGATAGAAAAGATTTTGCAATCGCAAAAACAAATTAAGAGTAAAGAAGCGAGATAAAACTTACCATGCCATGCTCGCTTTAGTACGTTGCTCAACTACGGCGTCGACTCCATGAATAGCCACGTACTCAGCATCCTTCAGAAGAATACTGACGTAATGCTCACAGTATTGTGAGATCTTCACCTAAAAAAGTAAAATACCTAAGAAAAAATGACTGCTGAAATAATCATCGGTACTATTCTACTATTACACCCCCAAAAACTCAAAATTTTAATTTTCGATGAAACTTCGCCTATACTATTCTACTGTTACACCCCCAAAAACTCAAAATTTTAATTTTCGATGAAACTTCGCCTATAGGAGTAATCCGATGCCCTGATAACGAATATGACCTTCATTTTTGGCGTTGGCGCCATTTGGCTCCAATTGGCGCCAATTTTGCGCCACATTGGCGCCAATTGGAGCCAAATGGCGTAAGTGTAAAAAATGAATGTTATATCCGTTATCAGGACCTCAAA